ATAGATATAATAATGAAAAAGTTAAAATATTGCAATAACTACCAAAAGGTGACATACAGACATGAAAGTAAGCTGTTGGAAAAATGGTGCCAACAGACTTGCTCAACACGGGGTTGCCATAAACGTTTTTTTTTTTTTTTTTGAGACAGAGTCTTGCTCTGTCACTCAGGCTGAAGTGCAGTGGTGTGATCTAGGCTCACTGCAACCTGACTCCCGGGTTCAAGTGATTCTCATGCCTCAGCCTCCTGAGTGGCTGGGATTACGGGCATGTACCACCACGCTGAGTTAATTTTTTTGTGTTTTCAGTAGAGACAGGGTTTCACCATGTTAGCAAGGCTGGTCTTGAACTCCTAGGCTCAGGCAATCCACCCGCCTTGGCCTCCCAAAGTGTTAGGATTACAGGCATGAGTCACTGCGCCTGGGCTGCCATAAACATTTAATTTGTTAAAAAACACAGTCTGTGAAGTACAATGAAGCACAACACAACAAAACAAGATATGCCTTATTTAAGGCATTTTTTTACTCCATTTGATTTTTGGAAATTATATCATTAATATAGCATGTAGTGAAATAAAAAATTAAAATAGTATCTTAGGCCTCAAGCTTTTTATCCTTAAGAAGATGAAGCTGGATTAGATGATGTCTAAGTCCCTCTCTTCCGACATTCTTTGACAATAATTATATAGCACAAATCAGAAGATCATATGTCTACTGTATCTAAGTAGTAAATATACTATTGATCTAATTACCAACTGTATCTAATTCCAATTACGTAAGAACTTCAGTTTTAAAGCAAGTTTACTATATCTAGACTAGTGACTTCTCTATTTTGGGGAATATATGTTTTACGAACTGTAAATATTATTGCCTATACAGACAATTAATTATAGTATCCATGCATTTTTTTTTTTTTTTGCCTATTCACACAAAAAATGTATTTGAGAAATGCATTCACATTTAACAATAAAGTCTGGACATGTGCCAGTTATAAATATAACATATATCTGGTAAGAAAATAATTCTGTAATTTTCTTTCAAGTTTGTTAACTACATACAAGCCCTTACTTTCCTTATGGCTAATATTTTAGTGCTACTCAGTTACAGACTTGCCCAAATTCTACTGTCTACTACCATTTATTAAGTAGTTGACCTATTTTCATATTCTTCCAATAAATTTTCAAAAGAGAATATCTAAATTTTGAATAGTCCTTTTTTGGACAGTATTAAGTAATAACTTGAAATACATTGTTTTACATAAGCAACAATTACATGCTAGATCAAGGAAATGGGCATATCCTTCATAAATAAAAAGAAGAATATACAGTAGAAAAAGTTTATTCTTTATTCAGAGTAAGTACTCTAGTGTAAATATACACTACTATTACATTCTTCACATCTGGCCTATATTACCTTAATAATATAAATTAGCTTAAACATAAAATAATCTTATACATTTTACAAATAATATCTAGATATCATTTTTTTAAAGTAGGTTTTCTATGTGGAAAGATAATAAAACTATACCTGGGTCTTCAAACTCTCAGGAATATTCACTTTAAATGTAAAGTGTTGTGTAATTGAATTTGTTCTTTTTTTAAATTTAAGTGAACCTACTGGCAATGGAAACAGCAAGTGGCTTTCAAAATGGACACATATCAGTGGATATTAAAGTAACATCTGTAGAGTACTTTACCACTTATAGAGTGCTTTAACATGTATTGTTATTTAACTGTTTCAACAATCTGTGAGGTCTGAGGTTTTTACACAGGACTTGGGCAAGCAGGGAGGAAGAGGATGTCAGGTACCAAGATACTCAGTTCCTCCATATGTATGTCTTGCTTCATTTTATAGCATTTATAGTCTGTAAGGAATTGATGCTATTCATAACTAAACTACAGTGATTAGTACGTGGGCCCAGGGGCATTTACTTTGAGATACCATTTGAAGTTTTCATACTTTTTTTTTTGAATGCTAATAAATTGACTGCCAAAAAGTGAGTACCAAGGTCTACGTCAGACAAGAAAATATCATTATGCTAGCTGCTTGTTATCAATGATTAATTTAACAAATATTATTGAATCATTACAAAGTATATATAGGTGAAGACCTAAAACAGTGTGTATCAACTGAACAAATAAACAGGGGACTTAATCATCTACTACTTGTAAAGCTGTCTTTGGTGAACTTGCTTCAAAACAGTTGTTGAAAAAATTTAAGTGTTAGGGGAGTACTCTAAAATTCTTTTCAACAGGATAACTATAAGTGTCTAATGGGACAATCTGTCAGATAACCTGAAAAAATGTCCCAATATAAATTAAACTGAAAGTCTAAAGATACTATATAAGAAACTACTAAAATCTTAAATAATGTTCACTATTTTACTCTTCATAGTAAAATGAACCAGAGTAAACCAGTTATGGAGCCAGAAGGTAATGATCTTACAATAAAAAATAGCAAAACTAAACCAAATCAAACCCTTACCTCCAAACACCGGGGCTTTTAAGTAAGGTAACTGTACTTTTTTATCATCCAAACAAAACCCACTTCCGAGACTTAAAAAGAGTGCAATTAATATTAGGCATAAACTGGGAATGTGCCAGACAAACCAGAATGTATGGTCTCCTGCTTAATAAGACACATGTCCCAGGCCATCCTGTTCTAAGATCATAAAAACAGAAAAAAACAGAAAGCATGAGGGAGCTCAAAGCACAGAAATAAACAAGAAAAAAATAAAAACTTTCACAAAGTAAGGTTTCCTCAAGGTTGCAAATCAATTTGCATTAATAATATTTTAAGCAACGGTAAAAAGGAGGAGGGGCTGATGTGCTAAAATAAGGAGGACTGGCTGAAATAAATTTATGAAGCAGTCAGATCCCAGATCCTCTCCCCGACCCCAGCAAAACACTGGAAGTTTATTTTCTTAAGAACATAAAACAGTGGTTCTCTGCACAGTGGACCCCGGGCACAGCTGAGAAGAACATATACTATGCTGAAAACAAGAGCTTGGGTGAATGCATATATACAGATGCCGAATGCAGTGATACCCCTGACCTCAATCATTCTTCCCCTGCTGGGTTCCCAGAATGATGGCCTTCATTCTCAAGGCAAGAGACATGAAGAGTCTTCTCTGAGGAATCTGACCATCCTAAGAAGGAAGACTTAAAGTTACTGAGTAGAAGATTCCTCAACCAAACAGCCCAGCCAGGCCACTCTATTGTGACTGTTGATAAGCCCCACTCCTATGCTCATAGCCTCCAATCAGCCTTTTTGTTCCTTACTATTAAATATAAACACACAAACAAAAATGTCCAGATGTCTAATGAAAGACTCTTATATAAAAGACAGAGATTAAAAGAAATACATAATAAACAGATTAAAGCAGCTTAAAGAGAAGTAATTTTTTTCTTTTTCTTTTTAATATACTGAGTGGTAAGAGAAGTAAAATTTTAAAAAATATCTATAAGTATCTTTCTCACGCAGATAGATACACGCAGAGAAAAAAAGCTTTTAAAATAATAAACTCAGAGGGTTTTTAAAAGATAAATCTGAGAAAGTCCGCACAGAAAGCAGAGCAAAACATAACAGTGGCGACTAACAGGAAAGGAAAGGTAAGTCAGAAACGTAATATCCAAGTCATGGGAGTTTCAAAAAATAAAGGGGAAAAATCATCAATAAAAGAATTTAAGAAAACATTTTAGAACCAAAGAAAAGGAAGAATTCAAAGAAAGAATGAGCAAAAATGCACGAAAAGAAACCCATGCCAAGGCAGATTATTATGAAATTTCAAAATCCCAGGATAAAGGGAAGAACCTGAAAGTTTTCAGGGTAAAGCAGGTCTGAAAGGATAGGAATTGAATGGAATCAGTCTTACCAACAGCAACACTGAAACGGGAAAGTGAAGTAAAATGGAGGCAAAGTACAATTCTGTAGAAAAATTATTTTCAACCAGAATTCTATACTCAAATTACCAATCAAGTATGAGGGAAACATAAAGACATTTTCAGATATGCAAAGTCTAAAACATTTACCACTCATGCAAGCTTTCTCGGGAAACTAGCAGGGAGTTAACACCACAAAAATGAGGGAATGGACCAAGAAAGAGCAAGAAATGGAATACGGGAGACAGGAAATCCAACACGGTGAGAGTTGAAGGGAGAACCTAGGAAGGCAGCCATAAAACCAGATGTCAAAAACAACCGGTTCAAACTGGACACTTAAGAAGATAAAACGGATAGAACACCCAAAGTGTCTGAATGTCTTGACAGAATTAGACAACTGATGAAAAAGCAAACAAAAGAAACAAGACAACTCTGAAAAGATTTTTAAAACAGAGAGAAAAACAAAAACGGGAACAGGAAAAGTGATCATAGTTTACCACATGGCTCCTGCTGTGAAAAGCATTTACATAATCAGAATAATGTAAATACTAATATGGATGTAACAGAAACAAGGAAAACGTCTTATTGTGAGATCTAGGGTATAAAAATGATACAGTGGGGACAAAGGAAGAAAAAAGGTAAAATCTTCACCTCCTGTTGGGAGGAGTCTATAGAAAATGACAAAAACTAAAAAAACAAACAAACAAACAAAAACCAAGAAGTGCAAGATAGCCATGCTATTTTGAAAGTAGGGTTTATCAACTAAAAGTTAGAGGTCACAGGGCAGAAGAGGGCATGGAGGACCCCAGGGAGGAGACCTGCTTGCTGTTTTTTTTGCCATAACTGTGTAGAATTGTTGGTCTCTAGATAACAAGTGTGCACAAAATTTTGTTAAACTATTTGATTAAAATAGAAAAGGAAAAGAAAAAAAGAGGGGACTTAGTGAAAGAAATCTCAAAAACATTTTAATTGAAGTGCCAAATTGCTCAGACCTCAGCCGGTATCAAACTGTTTTTCCCATAACTAAAGCTACACCACTGTGTATATCATTTGAGTATGATTATCAACCTTCCTCCATATTCTTCCAGTATGAAGACAGACAGGGAATTTTCCAAATCTTACCTCGAGCAGAGCTGCTGCGGGATCACCCTGTAGACTTTTTCCCAGTTTGTCAACCTCATCTAATAGGAACACTGGGTTGTTCACTCCCACAGTCTTCAAGCCGTTGATGATGCGACCAGGCATGCTGCCAACATAGGTGCGCCTAGAGAAAACAAGCAGCACATTCACAGTGTGAGATGTCAGGAGGCAGGAGCCACGCCATACAGAAATCGAAACTTACGAATGTGAAAAGATCATTTAGCTATCACCATAATATAGCAAAGAGGTACTATGTATTTAAAAGGCACTATGATAAAATCAAAAGTTATTATATTCAATTCCAACCTTATCTTCTACTTAATTCTGGTTACAAGTTGCCCATGATATTGGAAGAACTGTATCACATTTGCCATTTGGTGAAATGAAGAAACATGACACTTAAGTCACCAGTTACGGTTCTTACTCTTCAAGATTCCAAAATGTCCAAAGTACCCTAGAATTCCCGTGCTTTCCATGATTTTCCAGAGCATCCCCCTACCCAACGCAACCACCTTTATATACACTGAAATGGCTGCCCCAGGGCCAGCTAAAACATCATCATGTTCATGAAGATTAAAATCGGTTCAAAGGGCCACTCAGAATGTAGACCAAAAACAACAACAAAAAAGAAAAACTCCAATCTCTTTTATTTTCAGAGGCAATAATCTGTTAACTGTAGTACGAGGATCTGGGGTCAACAGTATTTATATCAAATTCCATTATTCTTATTCTGTCATTTTGAACAAAACTGTATTCATCCCATATGCACTAATTGGCAATAATCACATTCAGCCAGCCAGGTATTTTGTTGAATGTTAAAATATGAGAGCGTGCTTTATCGTATTTGGACCAGACTCACCCATACAATTATGACAGATGTAGACTGTGGCATGAAATAAAAACACATATGTTTATCAAACCAAAAAAGGTGCATTTTTTACAAAGCCAGCAAAACTGAAAGCAGCAATTTACTAATTTTAATTATAACCTTGCTGTCTACGTTGTGCAAAGCAAATGCTGTCTCTGAAGAGGCATAAAAGCCTGACTGCCGAGAAGAAAATGATCAACGAGAAGTGGAACAGCCGCAGTTACCTCATGATCTGCACAAAGCCGATTCACAGAGCAGGCCTGAATTCTGCCACATGACTGGTATAAAGTAGGACAGAATAAACAGAGTGACCTTTGAAAAGACAAGCAAGCCTTAAAAACATCGTGGGAATGCCTTTCATCTGGGAAAGGTGACCACGGGAAGCAAATGCAATACACATTGTCCTGTTAATATAAGGAATTAGCACATTCAAGATTTCAGAATCAGATACAGGAAAGATAAGACTCAGAATTAATAAACTCTTTCAAATTATTTTTCTAGAGAACTTACAGATTTGCCATTACTCTGATTTTTAAGAGTGGTAGGGAAGGGAATTTTTTAAAAGAATCTCAAAGCCTCTAACAGGTCATTTTTTGCTGCAGTTATTTATTTGCCTTTCCTTTTTTGATGAGTAAACTTTAAAAACAGGTACTGACAATTCTACACCTAAAGTTACGGAGAGAAAATAATATTCTAGGTAGGCACCCTTTCTAAAAAAAGTGGAATCCTAGATTCTACTCACACTGTATATAAGCAATTCCTCTTACATTTTCCATTGCTTCCCAGAGCCTACGGAATAAGGTTCAAACTCCTTTGTCTGGAGTTCGAGGCTCTTCACAATCCAGCTCCCATTCATCTTCCCCAACTTGCTGCCATTACTTTCTTGCTTCATCCACAATCAAGATCCTATTATGCTCCTTAAACTTTTTACCTTTGTTAAAAATATGGTGCCTTCCTGCCCTTAATACTCCTCTTCCTGCTTACGTAAATCCCAACAATTCTAAGAAACTTTTTCTGACTACCTCTCACAAAGTGACTGCTCCAATAATGCAATGTCTACTGCATTTACTGCCCCCATAACTCATCTGATGGTTACTTATGACCTAGTTTTTATTCATGGATATAATAACCTCCTCTAAAGAGCCAGTGAGCACTTTTATGACAGAGACGGGGTCTCGCCACAGAGTACTGGCTAGATATAGAGCTGTAAGACTGTTCCCCACCAGATCCACCATGCCAGCACTCAAAGCATCTTTCCGTCAACACTCTAAAGGTAACACAGTACAAGCCTCTGAATACTATTTTGGGCAAATTACTTGACCTAAGCCTCAGTTTCCTCACCTATAAGATGGGGATAATAGTGTCAACTTGGTGGGTTATATTAATATAAAGATCACGAGAGAACACAGGTAAAGCACACAGCACGGTGCCTGACATACGGTGAGCTTTCCAAAGATGCTCATCGTTATTAGCAACAGCTACTTAAAGTTTACTTCTGGTTTCCTGGAAAAAGCACAAGAGCAGAAATCTGTACACCTGAGTCCCAGTTCAATTTCCGCCTCATGGAAGCAACTTTTGCAAATGTCTTTTATAGCAGACAAGAGAGAAAAACATAGGCATTTCACCATCCACTCTTCCTACCTATTCAATTAAAGGGCTCCCTCAGGCTATAATGCAAACCATTAAAACAAAATTTACAAAGAATTTGGAATATAAAAGAGTTTAAGTGTTACAATGTTAAGTGAAAATGACAGGATTACAATTCTGTTACTTAAAATCCAGTGATAAGTTTGGCAGTACAAAACAAATGTTAACAGTGATTATCTTTGTATGGTAGAAACACATGAGAATTTTTTTTCATTTTTCCTTTTTCACATTTTCTACCACAGGTGTGTGGATATGTAGGTGTGGGTGTGGGTGTATGTGTGGGTGGGTGTGTGGGGGTGTGTGTGTGTGTGTATTTCAAACTTGAAAAAGTAATCAGTTTAAAAAAGATCCTAATGATCTCAAAAAGAAAAATAGTCTTTAAGAAACTGGGATTTTAATGTATAATAGCATGTCTAAACAAACGCAGTTCTTCTTCTGGTAGTCACTACTAAATCTTTTTATAGACTAACTTGCATGGGTGTACTCATCTAAAGGGTTGCATAACTTCCAAAATACTATGTTTTAATCTTATATGAATTCACAAACACCTAGAGAGCACTCACCACATTTAGCACTACGTTAAATAAGCATCATGGGGTACATAAAAGAAGATATATAATAAATCCCCTGCCTGAGAAAGCTTGTACTTTTTATAAACGTATTTATGTTTCATCTCCACAGTTGTATGGTAGAAATGCCAGAGGCCCGTATTCTATAAAGGAGCACAATAGGTGGTCAGTTTAGAGAAGAATAAAATCATAACTGACTGCACTTACATTAATGGAGGAAGCCTTGGGTTGAGTCTTTAAAATAAACCTAAGTTTTGGAGAGGCAAAGAAGAGCTGCATGCAAATACAAGTTGAAAGGATAGTGGGCAAACCATAATATATCTGGTACACTATGCTAAAAAATATATTAGAAGCTTGCTGCTTCAGTTATTTTTCCCTTGTAGAAACTAATAATGAAACAGTTTATTTATAACTTTACCATTTCAGGTTACATATGAAAATGTATCAATGTGGAAATCACAAGGTCATTTTTCTTCTCATCTTGTTTGCAAGTTGAGCCAAGGATTTCTCACAATAATATAATTTTATTATCTAAATAAACAGCTAGTAAATTATTTCTAGGAGTGAATATCAACAGTGATTTAAGATATAATATTATTTTTTACCAAAGAACAAATGAAAAACAATTATGCAAACATGATTTCATAAAACTTCATCTTAAAAGAAGTTACTTTATATTTAATTTGTGTGAATTGATTTACATTACTTAAATGTAATATTTAAATATAAAAATTTAAGTTGTTAAAACTGATAGAAGAGAACGGGTATTTTGTGGCTTATAAAGTGGACAGAAAAATCACAGTGGAGATAAACCCAAATGAGAAATGTCGAAAAGACTGAAAAACTGAATGAGTTAATACATAGTATAAACATTATTCTCCCTTTAAGCTACTCAAAACAATATAGACAAAAATGAGCCAATGTTTAGTCAGATCACTATTATTTTCCAAGTGTAGGATTAAATGTTAAGGCAAGCCTTTCTTTTTCTTCCCCATCTCCCACCTCATTATCGTTTAACCCTAAAAAATATATCTTTGCTTGTTTTTCAAATAAATCCCCAACTTATCAGCATCCTCCTTCTGATACGCAGATACTTTCAGCAAAAGGCCAGGGTTCCACACATAGAAAAACAGGGAGAGTGAGTGGCAAAATCGAGAGGATAAGCAAGTGCAGTAACAAAGCAGCTTTCTTTTTCCTTGGCGATTCTAAGACTTCAGAACAGTGGTGCCTACTCAGAGGCTAAGGAAAAACAAAACTTTTCATGAACTCTAACTGTGAGCACGTGACCGGTACTCAAATGCCAAGACCTGGGTTGTCTCCCAAATGCCTCAACTGTCACATGGAACCACATGTTCCCCCAGGCACACCCACGGTTGTGCTGGAATCATCAACTGTTCTTTCTCTCCTCCTCCTATTCACCTTCAATTCATAACTGACCTAAGTGCATGCTCTGCCCTCACCCTTTCCTCAACAACTGAACCCCACTACTCTCCACGTGCTTCCAAACAGGGTTTGAAATAAAATTTTTCAACAGGCTTTACTAATTTATGGGGTAGCTGGGTAATACGTCCCCAACAGCACAAGGGAAGGTTGCTATAGTAGTTAATCAAACATCTGGTACACTGACAGCTAAGTAACACTTACCAGCAAGGTGTATCTAAAATCAGGCTGAATAAAATGATTCACAAAACAAATCCTGATACTTTTTACTCGGCAACCATCACAGCCTCCATATATACGTTTCTAAAAAGGTTATATTTACAAATATTTTAGGCAATGGTGATTGTAACATGACCTCCTGTTACAAGACTCATAAAGTCAAGTCTTATTTTCTTTAGGCTCAATTTTCTTAATACAGTCACACACACAAAAGCATATTCACTTGAAAAAAAGAACAAATTTTATATGTCAGTAAGGATTTAAAACAGAGATTTATTTTAATCCAACGATGTTCATAAGTGGTGAGAACCATGACACTATACATTGTCCAGTAATACGCAATAGAAAAATGCATTTTCCCATAATTCTGCCATATAAATTAAGCAATAATGCTGAGAATAGGATAAATATTTTAGAAGGCAATTTAAAAAATCAGATTGAAATTTATAAGAACTCATACTGAAGCTTGTAAATCTAAATTTGTCCTCTTGAGAATTTATTAATAGAATTTAAATGGTTAAAGCTAATTTTTAGTGAATGCTGTGTGTCAGACATTCAATAAGTGCTTTCAAAGCCTTATCAAATAATCAATACCAATGTGAAAAGAAACAGAACAAATTACCTACGTGTCATGTGCTTATGATGTCAATTTCATATAATTCCACAAACTCACTGTCTAAATGCCATCAAATACTTACTCTGTAGCTAAAATGAGAAGATTTAGGCCCTAGACGCAGCTTCTTTAAGTTTGGTCCAAGAGAAATGCCAATTCCTTTACAAAAGCAAACTACAGCCTCTAGTGGTACATGCAAGAATAAGAAGTCTAGGCAACAAAAATATCTTTTGAAATTGCCAGAAGAAATCACCCAAATCAATTCTCTACTCTGATCTGCACCCCTCATTGTTTATTTACTAAAATCTTGTGATGATTCTTTTTTAAAATTTATTATTATTATTATTTTTAGAGATGGGGTCTCACCATGTTGCCCAGGCTGGTCTTGAACTCCTGAGCTCAAGTAATCTGCCTGCCTCAGCCTCCTAAAGTGCTGGGATTATAGGTGTGAGCTACCACACAAGGCCAGTAATGATTTTTTTAAAATGCATAAGAATTTTAAGTGAGCAAATAAAAGAGAATAAACATAACCATTTCTCACAGAAAAGTTTCTGAAACAGTTTTCCATCCCTGTCTATGGCTAGGGATCCCTTTGAATAAGGCAAATAGAGAACAAGATATTTAAAAAGCATCATATTCTTTTATAAGCAGTTTATGGTTTCTACATTTAAACATGTTCTTTAACACATACATATAGGTATGTTTTCTCACAACTTACAATTGCTATGAATCCCTTAAACCATGAAATGTAAATTCATGCCTTCCCAAGGCATCTTCCATCAGATCAACAGAGAGATCAGGGAGAACAATGAATGCAACATGCAAATCTGATTCTAATACTGTCAGATGAATCAGAAACAGTTTCCTCGTTGTTGTTTGTTTGTTTTTTGAGATAATGTCTCTGTCTCCAGGCTGGCGAGCAGTGGGACAATCATGGTTCACTGCAGCCTGGACCTTCCCAGGCCTAAATGATTCTCCCACCTCAGCCTCCTGAGTAGCTGAGACCACAGGTGCATGCCACTGTGCCTGCCTAATTTTTTAATTTTTGTAGAGACAAAAATTAAAATTTAAAATTTAAATATAAATTTTGTAGAGACAAAAGTGTTTCCCTATGTTGCCCAAGCTGGTCTCAAACTGTTGGACTCAAACAATCCACCCATCTCTGCCTCCCAAAGTGTTAGGATTACAGGCATGGGCCATTGCACCCAGCCTAGAGAGACAGTTCTTACAGTTTATTGTTTTTTTGATAGAAAGTGAGTCCAAAATGCAAGAATAAGCCTTAATAATTATGCTAACATTTATCCTTATTACTCATATTCATAATACAAACCGACCTTCATAAAAGGAAGCTTAGATTGCAATCAGAACAAGCTTGTTATCAACGACTTCCTACCTCCTCCTATTGGTCCTCCCTATTGCAGTTACTTTGTTTAACTCTAAGAGTTAGAGGTTATTTATGGACCGCTACTGGGTTGAAAAGAGTGTAAAGACATAATAATATCCAATCATAAATAACTTATAATTACATTCAAATGAGATTCCAGGAAAGCTGAGGCACAGAGTAGGTATCCACTGTCAAACAAAATCAAGGTCAGTTTGGGTGCTTAGAGGCTCTAGGCTACCTGGTATGTCTTGTAAATGTCCTTTCCATTGAAGGTACCACAAATAGCCCTTTAAAGAAAACAGACGTATGCTATGCCTAAGCTTTTAGGGAGCTCTAGTCAGTTAAAAAGAAGGAAGAATCAGAGATTAAACTGAGAGAAGTGTTCTACCTGTGTCCTCGAATGTCAGACTGATCACATACTCCTCCAAGTGCAATCCTATGGAACTCTCGACCTAGAGTCTTGGCCACTGATCTTCCCACACTTGTTTTACCAACCCCAGGAGGGCCAACAAAGCATAGGATTGGGCCCTTCAGGTTATTTTTCAGCTGTCTGACAGCCAAGTATTCCAGCACTCTTTTCTTCAATTTTTCCATGGCATAATGGTCATTATCCAGAAGAATCCGGGCTGCCCTAATGTCCAGGCGGTCTGTCAAATAACCCAACAGAAATAATTAGAACACATAAAATTTTTAAGTTAAAGAACTCCTTTCAAGCATAACGAGAGCAAAATATTTTTTTCTGAAAACAGATGTGATAAGAACAGACTTGGATCCTTCTAAATGAGGCTTCTAGGAGATCTGCACTTGGTTTGGTTTTTCTGCTTAAGACTTAGTGTCTCCAGAGATAGCAGGGACTACACAATTAAAAACTCAATGTTCATATCATTTTATTTGGAATGATTTTCTAGTTATGCATTACTTCTTAAGGAGATATAATTTCTACATAGTCTACGTGTGCTGGCATTTTAAAAAAGGGTGATTTTTTTCCTTATTTCAGTAGTAATATATGTTCATTCCAGAAAAGCTGATACACTAATAGAAAAGAAGAAAACAGTTACCCATAATCTCATGCCTCCAAGAGATCACCACTACCTTTACTTCAGTATGTGTTATTCCAGGCTGTGTGCGTGCATTTACAAACCTACTTTTCAAAATGGGATTTTATGGGGCCTTTAAGTTTTGTAAAATGTTTTTTTCACTTAATATATTACAGACAACTTTCACTGTCACACATATATTTATCAGTAACATTCTATGGCTACTTAATATTCCATTACTTAATTATCTATATTCATTTAACTACTTCCCTACTGCTGAGCATTCAAGTTGTTTATACATCTTTACATTTATAAAAGATGCTTCAACTGTGCATCACTGTAACTAAATCATCCCATATATCTGCAATGATTTCTTTCAGATTATCTTCTATGAACAGAAGTGCTGGGTCAAAAAAAAAGAGATGATGTAAAGAATGCCTAACTGCCACACAGAAAGTTGTATCAAAGTCTCACCAGAAGTGTGTGAGTTAGGCTTTGTTTCTACAGCCAGGCTTTCAACAGGTTTACTAATATGTTTCAGCACTTAAAATACTCAGATTAAACACCAGGTAACAGAAGCCAAAATAAATTCACTAGATGGGTGGCTGCCAGAGGATAATACACAGCCACATGATCATGCTGGCAGTGAAAGAAGAAGATGGGAGAGAGAAATACACACAGATCTTTTAATTAATTAGTACACACTCTTTTAATTATCTAGAATTTGCTACGGATTTTTCATAAAGGAAAAAAATGGCCTGAGATGGTAATTTGGTTCCCAAGCTAGTTCCCCCAAAAACCTAGCTAAACAGTAAACTATATAATTTAATTATAGTACTATTGATTTTAGTCAGAGTCCTAGGTGAGTGATGCAAGAGGAGAAAAACTAAAATTTCTTCCCCCTTTCCTGGCGCCAGAACCCAACCAATGAATATATGAAGAAGTGAAAGATAGAAAGTTTCTCAATTGTTTCACAATGCTAGCCCTGACACTAAAACCTACCACAGTAAACATAAAAGAAAACCTCAGACATCCCTTTTTATATAGCTGTAAATATTAAAATGATAGTAAATCAAATCTATAAAGAATAATCTACTAAATCCCAGTGGGATTTATTTTAGTTATGCAAAGATGGTTCAATGTTAGGTCATCAATATCATCATGTCCAAGAAGAGTAAGTTTCCATCAAAATATCATCTTGTACCTAAAAAGGTACTTGTTATAATGCATTATCCATTCATGATTAACACATTCAGTAAGGTAAGAATAAAAGTCAGGATAATTTAGAAAAGACACAACACTGTGAAGAAATTTCTTCCAAGAAATGTGCCAAGTAAAGATAATTTTAAAAGTTCTTTCAATCTTTTAAGTAAAGGTGATTTCCATGCTGTATACATTATTTTCTATCTTTTCCATACAAGAATAACTTTTTCTAGTTATTCTCTTTAATGATTCAGAAATGATTTTGAATAACATGTGGTTACATGAAAAAAATTTTCAAATTTCAATATAAATTTCCCTATGTATAACTGGAAGATTGAAATGGTATCTACTGACTCCTCTGAGATGGGAAAATCTGCAAAGATATTTCCTACAGCTCTTTCCTCTCTGCTTTCCTTTCTGCTTTCAGTTACTATCTGAGATCTCCACTTGGTAGGTAAACTTCTCTTTCAGAAATTACGAATGGCGGGCTGGGCTTGGTGGCTCACACTTGTAATCCCAGAACTTTGGGAGGCCGAGGTGGGAGGATCACTTGAGGTCAGGAGTTCGAGACCAGCCTGGCCAACGTGGTGAAACCCCATCTCTACTAAAAATACAAAAATTAGCTGGGCATGGTGGCAGGCGCCTGTAATCCCTGATATGCAGGAGAATCGCTTGAACCCAGGAAGCAGAGGTTGCAGTGAGCCGAGATCGCACCACTGCATTCCAGCCTGGGTGACAGGGCAAGACACCATCTCAAAAAACAAACAAACAAATGAAGATATTTAGGCTGGACACAGTGGCTCAGTGGCTCAGGTCTGTAATCCCAGCACTTTTGGAGGACAAGGCAGGCAGATCACTTGAGGGCAGATCACTTGAGGCCAGGAGTTCTAGACCAGCCTGGCCAACATGGTGAAACCTTGTCTCTACTAAAAATACAAAAATGAGCCGGGTGTGGTTGCAAGCATCTATAATCCCAGCTACTTGGGAGGCTGAGGCAGGAGAATTGCTTGAACCCAGGAGGCGGAGGTTGCAGTGAGTCAAGATCACACCACTGCACTCCAGATTGGGCGACAGAGTGAGACTCCGTCTCAAAAATATATATATGAATGGCATTTTAATGGTTTTATAACCACACTCACAATTATCTAGACATAATCCTATGTAGCAAAGGTTTAGGAGCTTAACATGACTCCTTTTATACCATAATTTACTCATCTTCAGTTCTTTGTTGAAATGCTAAACAATGGAATTATTTTCATGATGGATACATGGCTGCTATACATCTCTAGTGCTGACACATATGGCATCTCAGAGTACCAAGAAATGTTTCCTTTCAACTAAAAGGCAGTATTTTGTTATGACATGCAAACTTTAAATAAATTAAAAAATAAATTTACTACCACAGCTCACCATAGCTTTATTTTTTGATATTTTATTTTATTAAATATTTTTATTTTATTTATTATTTTATTTTTTAAAACAGAGTCAAGGTCTTCCTATGTTACCCATGCCGGTCTCAAACTCCTGGGTTCAAATGATCTGTCCACTTTGGTCTCTCAAAGTGCTAGGATTACAGGTGTGAGACACTGTGCCCAGCCAGCTTTATTTTTAATAGCCAAAAAAACTGAAAACAACCCAAATGTCTATCAACAGATGAAGTGATAAACAAATGATGGTATATCCATACAACAGAATACAACTCCAGCAATAAAAAGAAACAAATTACTGTTATATACAGCAACATGGATGAACCTCAAAATAATCATGCTGAATTGAAGAAGCCAGAAAAAAGGGCTCATACTCTATGATTCCATTTATATGAAATTTTAGAAAATACAGATTAATCTTTAGTGGTTGCTTGGGGATTAGGAGGCAAGGAGGAAAGGGGCAGGGAAGAAGGAAGGGATTATTAAAGAGCATGAAGAAACTTCTGGAGGTGATGGTTGTACTCATTATCTTAATTATGGTGATAACATTACAGATGTATACATAAGTCAAAACTCATCAAAATGTACATATTACATTTGTGAAGTTTACTCTATGTCAATTACACTTCAATAAAGCTCAAAAAAGAAAAAAAACCTTTCTCTAAAGAGAAATTAAGAGCCAGGCGCAGTGGGTCACATTTGTAATCCCAGCACTTTGGGAGGCCGAGACGGGTGGATCACTTGAGGTCAGGAGTTCAAGACCAGCCTGTCCAACATGGTGAAACCCCGTCTCTGCTAAAAATACAAAAAATTAGCCAGGTATCATGGCAGGCGCCTATAATTAAGGCTACTTGCGAGGCTGAAGCAGGAGAATCACTTGAACTTGGGAGGCAGAGGTTGCAGTGAGCCAAGATCACGCCACTGCACTCCATCCTGGGCGACAAGAGTGAAACTCCATGTCAAAAAAATTAATAAATAAATAGAAATTAAGGAAACAATCTCATTTACAATAGTTTCAGAAAGAATGAAATACTTAACAACAAACTTAACCAAGGAGGTAAAAGGTCTGTACGCTAAACATCATAAAACACTGATGAAAGAAGTTAGACACGAACAAGTGGAAAGATATTACATGTTCATAGACTAGAAAAATGTTGTTAAAATATCTATACCACTCAAAGCAATCTACTAGTTCAATGTAATCCCTATTAAAATTCCAATGACATTTTTCACAAAAATAGAGTTTAAAAAATCCTAAAATTAATAAGAAATTACAAAAGACCCTGAATAGCCAAACCAATCTGGAGGAAGAACAAACGTGGAGACACCAGACTTTCTGACTTCAAGTTATATTACGAAGCTACAGTAATCAGAGACTATGATTCTGGCACAAAAACAGACACACGGACCAATGGACTAGAATGGAGAGCCCAGAAATAAACCCTATAAGGTTAGCTAGAAAGTCAACTAATTTTCAACAAGGGCACCAAGAATATACAACAGGGAAAGGCCAGTCTCTTCAAAAAAATATTGTTGGGAAAACAGATACCCACATGCAGAAGAACGCACTTGAACCCTTATATTACACTGTGTACAAACATTAATTCAAAATGGACTCAAGACTTAAATGTAAGGCCTGAAACTGTAAAAGTCCTAGAAGAAAATATATTTTAAAAGCTCCTTGACATTGGTCTGGGCATGGTATTTTTGATATGACACCAAAGTCAAGTCAACAAAAGCAAAAATGAACAAGTGAAATTATATCAAACTAAAAAGCTTCTGTACAGAAAAAAAAGTTCAGCAAAATGAGAAGGCAACCTATGTAATGGGAGAAAATATGTGCAAACCATATATCTGATAAGGGGTTAATATCCAAAATATATAAGGAACTCATGAAACTTAACACCAAAAAATCAAATAAGTGCTTATCATGACTAATAATCAGGGAAATGCAAATCAAAACCACAATGAGAAAGCACTTTATGCCTGTTAGGATGGCCATTATTAAAAAAAACAAACCAACCACAACCAGTGAAGGTGAGGATATGGAGAAAAGGGCACCGTTGTACACTGTTGTTCGGAATGTAAATTGGTATAGCCATTATGGACACAGTATGGAAGTTACTAAAAAAGTTAATAAAACAACTTCCATATGATCCAGCAATCCCACCTCTGGGTAAATAGCCAAAGGAACTGAAATCAGGATCTCAAAGAGATAGCTGCCCTTCCGTATTCACTGCAGTATTACTTACAATAGCCAAGATACGGAAACAAGTGAAATGTCTACTAATACATAAGTGAATAAAGAAAATGTGGTATAGACATACAATGGAACATTATGCACCTTAAAAAAGAAGGAAATCTTGCCATCTGTGACAACATGGATGGAACTAGAAGGCATCATGCTAAGTGAAATAAGCCAGACACAGAAAGACAAGTACTGTATGATTTCACCTATTTAATGCATGTGGAATCTAAAATAGTCAAACTCATAGAAATGGAGAGTAAACTCGTAGTTGCCAGGGGATGAGAGGAGAAGAAAATGGGAGGTGATGGTTAAAGGGAACAAAGTTTCAGTTATGCAAGATAAATAAGTTCTAGAGATCTACTACAAAGAAAAGTGCCTATCACTAACAATATCGTTAATTTAACATTAGAACTTATGTTCAACGTTCTTACCACCAGCACCAAAACAAAAAAGCCAATAATAATGATGATAATAATAATCACAAAAGACGTAGGAGGAAACTTTGGAGGTGATGGATATGTTTATGGCTATGAGGATTGTGATGGTTTCATGGGTGTATACTTATTTCGAAACTCACTGAGATGTATTCATTAAATATATGCAGCTTTTTGTATGCCAATCACACTTCAATAAAATGGTTTCAAAAAAATTGGAAACAAAAATAACAGTAAGACAATCAGTGGAGTAAATCTGAAATGAAAAACTGCATGAGCTTTCTGAGTGACAATTAGACTGCAAAAAAAGGTGAAATTTTTTGGCTTACCAGTTGTGCTTTTGTTCCAAGGAAGTTCTACCATAAGTTCCAAATAATTTCTAGTCAGAGCATATTCTGGCATTGACTGAGGCATTTTTTTGAGTCTATGGAGAAAGAATACACAGCAAACTTGTTCAAGAACACAGAAAAATTCTGTAACAGAAAAATCAAACAGCTCTCTTTCTTGGTTAGATATATCATGCATGTTTAGTTAAACAAATCTGAAAAAGTTTGAAAGTATCCAGATCATAAAACGTTTATTTTGTTTTGTAATGTAATGATCACCACTCCTCTCTCTCTCCCCCGCCTACTTTACTGCCCCTTCTGTAGTCCCACCAGGGAGGGGTTCTTCCCTTCTGCTCTGCTTTCTCTACAATGTATTCTCATATTTTGTAAGTACTTAATGTACTTACAAAACAAAATAAGGCAGGTACCTGCAAACTGCAGGAGAAAACAGTATATCTAATTCTATCCTGGAAATATGGCCTCACTAGTGTGTGTCCCTTTTAAGCTCACAGGGATAGTCAAGTGACACATATCCATCGGTTTACTTATCACAGTAAGATGTAAGTGCCTAACTATGCGTAATACAATAATTTTATTCTTTTGTATCAGAGATGAGTGAGGTGTCGCCTCATAAAAGCAAGCTAATATCATATACTCATTTGAATGTAATTATAAGTTATTTATGATTGGATATTATTATGTCTTTACACTCTTTTCAACCCAGTAGCGGTCCATAAGTGTTCTATATATATTAACTAATGTCAGAGGCAATATAAAATACCCATCAACTACAATTACCAATGTTCTTAACTGTGAGCCTCAGAAAGTCAAATATGAAGTCACTAAGCATTCAAGCAGGCTCATTACAATTCACTAATAAAAGAAAATGGAATAAGAGTTATAAAGTTAAAAGTATGTAAAGGAAAAATGGCTTTCAGTTTAACACTGGGGATATCCAGAAAATCTAATCAACCCACATATCCTATTCTGTTATCAAGGTTTCCCTGTACTTTGTCTTGTACGGAGAGAAATGGACAGTCCTTGCCCTTGAGAGTTTATAATCTAGAGAAGAAAAGTCACATGTGAAGAATACGATGCTAACTGAATAAACATTACGTATAAACAAAGAAGCATGGTCTGTTCTTTCAGACAACAAAAAGGCAGCTGCAAGAGTTATAATGCTTGACAGCACACTGCAGGTGGAAGATTTGCACCATGTATCCTCAGTATTTGAGAAAAGAGTAGTGAAAGTGGTGTTAATCAGGAGTACTAAGAATGTTAATCAGGAGTACTGAAAATGAAAACAATAATGAACAAATGCCTTTTATAATTTACCTCTTTATCTCTTTGACACAGACTTTATGGGCCTGCTCTGGCATACTAGATGTTTGTATTTTTTTCTCTAGCATGACAATGTCATCATTATCTTCATCTTCATCTTCATCTTCTAAAGTACCTGAGATATGTGTAATTCTCCTAATAGGGCGTATTGCTATAACCTAATGTAGAAAGCAGAAGAGTAAAACCGTATGTCAAAATAAATTGGAAATAGTACCCAGGTACACATAAGATAATGACTGGTGCTGAATAAACATTTTTATGACTATAGTCTATAGCTTTAGGAAGTGAAGCTCAGAATGATAATCTGAACTTCAGGTGGTTGTATACAGAGAGGCAGTAGAATTGCAAAAGCAGACCAGCATAAGGTAGACATGATTCTTTGGTATATGCTTACAATAATATGTGCATGAGAAAACAAATTTCAAGGAACTGGATACCAGAAATGATTAAACCATCTAGGAACTATCTTTCTTTCAGCTACTATTGCAGCCACTATTTTCTTGAAATACATTACTTCTTACCATTTGGTGACTGAAAAAAATTCCATTTTATTTCTCACATTACAAAATTTCTTCCTAGCATCTTCAACCTTTCCACCACTGGCTCTATTTTGTCTTTAAAGCTTTCCTGCTTTCAAAATATTTTTTCTTACCTCTAGTTCCTTCTAGTTAACTACCACACTATTTACTTCCCTTCTTGTGAGGTTCTGTGACAAGTGGCTATAACCACCAGATCCCCTACCTCATCAATCACTTCAGTGAGCCTTTGGCATCTGTTCCCATCCTGCCAAAATTGTTCTTTCAAATCTAAAAAACATATTCTGTGCAAAGTCAAATGGCCTTTGTGTTCTCCGCTATGATCTCTCTATCACATGTTAAAACTACCTTATGTGCTCCTTGAAATTCATGAATAAACAACCATTACTGGAGCAAAATGATATACTAGCATTTAATTTAAAAGCCCCCAGAACATTTTATTTTTTGAGACAGGGTTAAGCTTTGTCATCCAGGCTGAAGTGCAATGGCATCAACACTGCTTACTGCAGCCTCAACCTCCCTGGCTCAAGCAATCCTTCCACCTCAGCTTCCTAAGTAGCTGGGACTACAGCCACACACCACCATGTTGGCTAATTTTCAAATTTTTTTTTTGTAGAGGTCTCACTATGTTGCCCAGCCTGGTCCTGAACTCCTGGCCTCAAGCAATTCTCCTTCCTTAGCCCCCAAAGTGCTGGGATTACAGGTGTGAGCCACCACATTCAGCCCAGAACTTATTTTTTAACCTGGAAAATTTATCTATTTAATACATTCAAATATAAAAATGTTTAAAATATAAAGCAGTAAATAAAAATTTAATTTTATAAAAACGTAAGTACTAAATATATGCCTTTATTCTTATATAAGTCATCAGCAGATAAAATATTATAAATAAAAAACTGAACATATTATATATATTTTTAAAAGTGAGAGTTCTATAAGCATATCAGTGATTTCACTGTTAAGACAAAAGCACTTTTTAATGCATTTTTCCTTCCTGACTGCTAAAACAGTGCTTTTCAACTCTTAGGGGAATGAAAAGGACAGAGTTTTAGGCTAACTCCAAATATTATCCTGATTCCTACTTTTTAAATAACTATCTCTTGTTTGATCATTTTCTGGAGCACTTTTGAAAAACTTTCATTTTAAGAGATGGCAACCTTTATTGAGAGTAAGTTGAAGTTTTCTGCAACTCCCAGTGGATTTGTCTTTCTACACAAAATGAGTAATTGAATCCCTAATCTGATCTCAAGCCAGAAATAATCCAGTTTTCTGCATGTTTTAAACAGCATGGTGTCCTGGAGTACTAAACCCCAGCATGATGATCACTGTTCCTCTCTCTCTCCTCGGCCTACTTCACTGCCCCTTCTCTAGTACCACCACGGAGGAGTTCTTCCCTTCTGCTCTGCTTTCTCTACAATGTATTCTCTTTGATGACAAGACTTCTGTACTGATGAACATCAAATTGCTAACATAATTCTCAATACCTCACTTAAGTCAGAGTTCTGCATCTCCAACAGCCTTCAAAGAACTGCCATTTTCACATCCAGTCCATATCAAATATATTTTCCTAATCTAAACTCTGTCCAGACATAAAAATTGAAAAATCAACAGATCAAGGTAGACTTCAAACAGATCCCATCATACATATAAATGTAATGGATGATAATGGGGATGGGAAGGATTATTTAATTAGTGGTGTTGAGTCAAATAAAAAGCTATTTGAAGGAAAAATACAACTGCTGTCTTCAAAATAATATATGGGTTAAAGAATTAAATACTTTTTAAAAAATCAACTAAAGTTAAACTGAAAGGAAAGTGAATATCTATCAAGCCACTGGAGGTTAGAGGACTTAAACTTAGAAAACAAAAGAAGATCAAGAGTTTGACTAAATAAAAATGGAAACTCTTGTAAGTTGAAAACAGCCAAATTTCGGACACAACATACAGTCCCTTTAAGAAACAGTTTCGTATTACTTCCTTAATACTACATGCAGTAAAAAAATGTTACACTCAAAGACACCCATCACAGTTATTTGTTAGTGCTTACAATATGCAAAACACTGGAAACAACAGGGGAAATGGCTCAGTAAATTATCCTTTTGGACGATAACCAAAACAAAGTGAGAAAAATGCTTACATGCTTTAAAAAATAAATCCAGGCAAAGACAAGGATGAGAAGGAAACATCTAAATTTTATCAGTAATGCGAGTGGTAGGAGACGATAAACTTTTCTTTTTTGTTCCTCTCTTTATTCTCCTCTTTTTTTCAAACCTCAAATGGATTAAAATAAATATTTACCCTCTTATCATCATCTTGCTTGGGTTTTCTGGTTTTTTGAAGCAATTTTAGGCCTTCAATTTGTCTGACAAGCAGTGGTATAGTCATCTTGAACCGCTCCTCTAGGCTCACAGCATCTAAAATCTAAGGAAATGTGAGTCAATTAATAGGATCTCTCTCAGAAACACACAATCCAAAAACAGGCAGTCAGAGCCATGGTTTGAATTGCCAAGGGTTAAAAAAAAAAATTCTTACCAGTATTCACAGCTACACTACGGCTAAGACAACTCAAATGAACTATATTAATCAGCAAGGTTGTTTGAGATGAGTATCAGAATCCTCAAAAAAGAAAGAAAAAACAGAATCTTGATTTTTCACTTTAAAATGAAGCTGTGTGTTTTTAAGATTAAAAAAACCAGATACACAGTTGACGTCAACTCTTTCTGGGAATTATTCTCTTAAAGCCCAGCATGTGTTTTCATATTAGATCTAAACAAATTATAAGTTCAAAATATTAAATGTTTACATATACAAGACAACAGAAGCACTGAACCAACTCTCACTAGTGATTTGTCGGAGCACGGGCCGCTCTCCGTTCCTGCAGAAAAACACACTGCTGCCGCCCACAGCCAGGGGGCTCTCTGGCAGTCCTGTAACTCTTCTACTCCCACCGGTTTAATTGAATTCCTGTGTATAACCAACCTGTTTGTGTTAGTTGCATTTGCTATTATAACAGTTGGATTTAAGTATTAAATAAACTGATAACATATGAAAGAGCTGTTTCACTGAAAACAAACAAATGTTCTAGGATGATTCAGTAAAAAAAGACTGCTTTAAAAATAAGTGTGCAAGAAAACTTAAAGTATTACAGTCTGGGGATTAAGTCATGTAAATGTAGGATTCTACACTTGGATTACTTTTCAAGTGTCTTTAAAATTCATTTCACTTTAAATAAATATAAATTTAAAATTATAAGTAATGTATCATAGGTGTGATTTATATAAAAACATCATGAAGATTCTAAGAAAAAAGGTCCACACATAAGGGAAGGGCCATGGCTCCACATTTAAAAATAGTGAATCAAAGAATGCCTACATATTTAAGTTAAATTAAATATTCACCCTTTTTTTTTTTTTGAGACAGAGTCTCTGTTGCCCAGCCTGGAGTGCAGTGGCACAATCTTGGCTCACTGCAGCCTCCGCCTCCCGGGTTCAAGCGATTCTCCTGCCTCAGCCTCCCAAGTAGCTAGGATTATAGGCGTGCACCACCACGCTCAGCTAATTTTGTATTTTTAGTAGAGATGGGGTTTTGCCATGTTGGCCAGGCTGGTCTTGAACTCCTGATCTCAACTGATCCACCCATCTCGGCCTCCCAAAGTGCTGGGACTACAGGCGTGAGCACGCAGCCAAATACTGACCTTTTTATGATTCTTTGCTTTAACTTTTTCTGTAAATTGACTATTAGTACTGATTATACAAATAAAAGAGATGCCTGTGTAAACAAAAATATAAAACAATCACATTTGAAAGTCAGCTTAAATGTAAAAGCATTTCAACTACTTTGGGTCTCCAATATCTTTTACTTGAAGGTCAAAACTTAACTACTCACTATCTAGATCTCAATAAAAAGTGACAAAGCAACCTGGCATTCAAGAACGGAACACTGTACCTGGAGTTTCTCTTTGTTGCTTGTTCGGATAATTGATGTCAAGATGTCTGGTAAAGCTTCCCTTGGAAGACTATCTAAAAGACGTCTCAATTTAGCAACTGCAGGGACAGACATATCCAACATTTCAACCAACTAGAAGGGGGAAAAAAAGTCTTTTAAATGAAATCTGGCATTATTTGTGAATTTTTAAAAATCAGGTTTCCATCTAGGTTTAATGTTTGGGCCTCAGTCTTTGTTTTTGAAAGATCACTGATTAATATAGTCCACGTATTTTACAGGCCTCAGAGGAAAAGAAAAGTACTTTCAAAACGTCAGTCAGAATGAAAAGCAATAATGGCTCAAAAGTAGTTAATACTAATGTTTACAAAGGCTTTGTAAACTTGTGCCATGATTATTTTTAACTTTCTATTGAAAAAAATTCAAACGTACAAAAAAGTTGCAAGAATCATACAGTAACTCCTGTATATCCTTATTTCAGAATCACGAATTGAATTCACCAACTGAAAAGTGGCATTTTGCCACGTTTGCTTTCTCTCTCTCCACACTCACACATAATTAATAAACATTTGAGGATAAGCTGCAGAATCGAAATCCTTATTCTTTAAATCTCTAATCCTGTGACAGATTAAGGACCCTTGTTCTTAAGAACAAGAATATTCTCTTACATAATCACAATATAACCCCTATTAGATGCATATTATTAGAAATATGTGTATTATTAGAAATTTAGCATAGTTGATGATATTATCACGGCCAATCAGAAGCTGAAATATTAATATTTAGTATAACATGTATGTATTAGTCTGTTCTCACACTGCTAATAAAGACATACCAGAGACTGGGTAATTTATAAAAGACAGAGGTTTAATGGACTTACAGTTCCACATGGCTGAGGAGGCCTCACAATCATGGAGGAAGGCAAAGGAAAAGCAAAGGCCTGTCTTACAGGCAAGGCAAGACAGCGTGTGCAGGGGAGCTATCATTTATATAACCATCAGATCTTGTGAGACTTATTCACTACCAAGAGAACAGTAAGGGGGAAACCGCCCCCATAATTCAATTATCTACACCTGGCACTGCCCCTGACACACGGGAATTATTACAACTCAAAGTGAGATTTGGGTGGGGACACAGCCAAACCATATCAATTTGGACTAACTAGAATCTGAGCACTGACTGTGAATGATTTTTAGAAAAACAACTGTCAGGGTGTATCTGGGAGTTAAGACAGATTATGCCCAAGACACACTTTCAGTAACTGTGATAGTCATTAGGGCTACTGACAAACTCCCCTTTTCTTCCGGGCACTGCTCTTTCTAACTTCCTTCAAATATATTAATAAGTGTGTCTAAGAGTTTTAAATTGACCCATGAAACATAGTAGAAGTGACAGTTCCTTCCGGGCAGAAGCATTACAAGCCAACGAGAGACACGTCCCATTTCCTTTTCCTGCCTCAGAGATAAGGGAAGCATGTCTTGAGATGAATCTCCAATCCACCTGGGTCCAAGTGACTCTAATAGGCAGACACAACCCCCACTAGTCTCAGGCATGAAGCATGAGCCAGAAAGACACTCATGTCATGTGACTGAGATTTCAGAGAAGTTAACACAGCAAAACTTAGTTCACACTAATTCATAAATGATGTACCAAATCCTCATTTAGTCAATTCAAATAAGATTTCATGTGCTAATAATAATCAAACCCCTCCAACAACATTGTAATTTTGGAACCTATCCATTACCTGCCTAGAATGAAGGGAGTTAAAGTATAATTACGATGCTGTTCAGGTGGAAGAAGTAGGTAATAAAATTTGAATACCCTTACTACTAGGAATTCACCCTATGAAAATAAATAAAACAGTTAACACTCATTTTCCAAACATTTACTGAGTACAAACTATCTGCCAGACCCAATACACTGCTCAGTACAGGATGGCTAAAGGAGAAAAATAAATTCAAATTTGGTAGAGAAAAAATACCTATAAGATACATTTCAATACAATGGGATAAGCATTATGTTAAATTACATGTATGACAGACTGTGAAGGCACAGAGAGAGGAATGGTAACAGCCTACAGCCGTTGGAAAAGCATAGATTCAATTTTAAAATTCAGAGATGGAGGCCAGGCGTGGTGGCGGCTGGATCATGAAGTCAGGAGTTCGAGACTAGCCTGGCCAACATGGGTAAACCTTGTCTCTATTAAAGATACAAAAAATTAGCCAGGCATGGTAGCACATGCCTGTAATACCAGCTACTCAGGAGGCTGACACAGGAAAATCACTTGAACCCGGAAGGCGGAGGCTGCAGCGAGCCGAAATTGCACCACTGCACTCCAGCCTGGGCAACAGGGCGAGACTCCGTTTCACAAAAAAAAAAAAAAAAAAAAAAAAATCAGAGATGGAAGAGCACTCCCAGCAGAGAACCAAAGGCAGAATCATAGAGACATGAAATAACTCAATGTGAAGCTGTTTTACATTCAGTAGAGCTAGAACTAGGGTGTCAATGAGGTGATAACTAGAGTTGAGGCAAGACAGATAGGCCCAAGACAAGTTGCAAACGGTCTTAATGTTAATACTAAGAAATTTCGTGTTCATCCTGTAGCCATTAAAGTCTTTTATTCAAGGGAAAGGGATGCCCCAAACTTCTTTTAGAAAGGCTCAGTGAAGAGAAAAGGTTCAAGACGAAGAACTAGGAGACAAGAGGCTATTGAAGAAGTCCACTGAAGAGGGCTGTAGAAGTAGATGCAGAAGGGGATGAAAGAGAATAATTAATTGGAAATAAACTTAATGTCTAAAAAGGGAAATTACAAAATTAGTATACATTAACTCAATGAAATTAATAAAAGTACTTAATATGAACCTTAGACATGGATAAAAAAACAAAACATATAATTGAATATGAAATTTAACAAAAATTAAATTTGATGCATGATGATAGTAAGATGTGTGGTGATCTATTTATCTCTAAAAATTCTTTTAATGTCACTGTAAAATCTTTAAAAGTTTAAAAGTTTTTTCTAGATTCAAAGTGCAAAGAAGTAAAGGCAATGCGAAAGAGGCCACGTCTAACAGAAGCACAAAGACCCAGCGAACATCACTGCCGAAAAGAAAAAGAAATTCTATTTCTCTCAATCTCCTTTATTCCGAAGCAGTATATTCACTATTCCAGCTTTCAAACTGAAGTTTCTTTCCTCAAAGTCCTTTTTTTCAGCTCTCATAGAAATTACAGATTTGAATTTTCAATTTTTCTTTTTTTTTTTTTGAGTCAGGGTCTCACTCTGTTGCCCAGGCTGGAGTGCAGTGATGCAATCTTGGCTCACTGCAACCTCCACCTCCTAGGTTCAAGTAATTCTCCCACCTCAGCCTCCCCAGTAGCTGGGACTACAGGCACGCACCATCACACCCAGCTAATTTTTGTACATTTTGTAGAGACGGGATCTCACCATGCTGCCCAAGCTGATCTCAAACTCCTGGGCTCAAGCAATCCGCCTACTTCAGCCTCGCAAAGTGCTGGGATTACAGGTGTGTACCACCGCAGCCGGCCCTCAAATTTTCTATTTTTCTATTATTGTTCATTACACTATAAGTATGGCTCTTCAAATGCCATATCAGATACAAGTACCACAGGCTATGAGCACTTGCCCTACACATAGTTCAATGATCAGTAGTATTTATAATAGAAACTTTTAAACATCTGATCCTCATAGATCTACTTATAGTCACTGGATTATATTAATAGAAAAGTAGACTATACTTTATAATTTTATATGTTTCATTAAGGTCTGAAACAAAATGGGGTGGGAAGAGGAGCTTTCTGTTCTATCTAGAGTTAACCAAAAAAACTAGAATTAAGGAGTCAAATATTTAATGCATATCTAAAATGTGCTTCCCTCCCAGCATTCTAGTTAATTAAGGTTTTAACCATACTTGAAACCAGCCTACCACAGGCTTGATCTGCCATAGTTACTGCTAGACAATGTGATCCTGACTTCTGAAGTAATATAACTTACATAAATGGTGCCTAGATATTTTAGTGACAAATAGCTTCTGTGCAGTATTTTATTTTTTAGCTTTAAATATTTAGGTTTAATAATTATCTAGTTTAGAGACAGTAGAAGTTAGAAAGAAAACTGTAGAAATAACATTTGGAAAAACTTTAGAAAGGGTAGGCCAATATGTCCTGGAATGATTTAGGCAGAACCCCAGACAAGAGTAAATCAGAATTAATATATTATGTTACTAAGTCATTTAAATGTATACTGTCCTAAAGCTTCACCATCCAACAGATTCATCGTATCTTAGGAAAGCAAAGGAACCAAAAACAAATGGGTTTTAAGAAAAAAGAAAAGCAACTTACTTGTACCGCATATTTGTAAAACTGCTCCGATAGTTCTCCTAGCTCCTCCCTCATTTTACAGGTGCTGGGAAACTCCTCAAGTCGGTCCAATTGCTCTACTTCAGCAATGGGATATGGCTTCTCTTTTAAGACTTGTACAATCTGGAAACGGCACAGGCCTGTAATTAACAGAGTATAGTGGGGCTTGGGCCAGTTACTGCCCACAACCTGAACGGCCAGTGCAGCTGTGCCAATCCTGAAAAACACACAAAACAGTAGTATTACAAACATTCAACATGGTAGAACAGAAACTCACTTCCGAAAGTGTTGGCTTTTCTAATAAATTCATTAAGCAAAAAAAAAAAACTGAAGTGTAAATAAATTATTTCTCTATTTAACTTAGCATCCAGCATGTGGCCTCTTCCGCCACTACCCTCAGCTATACGGCAAAGCGGGCCATCTCACTATAATCCGCACCTCTTTTAAAAAATTAGGTAGGAATTTGTAAACACTTGGATTATCAGGCATAAAAATGTAAGAGGAAAGTAGTTCAGAATTACATATCTTAAATTAATGTTGCCAACTAAGAATAAGGCAATCTTATACCAGGATAAATATCAATTTAAATACATTTAAATACGAATAGCATTAACCAATCTAAGAAATCTCTGTTCCAACACCAGCTGTTCTACTAACATCGAGTCAGTTTTCTTACATAATCTATGAAACTTCCACATACCCACCTTATCACGAACTGGGAACTTACATATTATGCCCTTAACACTGAATTTCTAAGTGTGAGGGCTAAATATTACAGTCCACACACTGCCATAGACTGAGGAGAGCTAAAGAAAGACCCACATCTCAAAAGGTCTCAACCTAGTTCTAAGTGGTAATCACTTTTCCTAACAATAGGTGAAAAGGCTTTAAATCTCAGCTCCTCACCAGCAAATACAACTCTGATCAAGTCACATATAAATTTAATTCACAGAAAGGAAGCCTCATCCAAACTAAGCCAGTTATATAAAATATAAAAATCAACATTGAGAAGATACTTCCGGATCCCAAAATAAATAATATTTTCTCCCTTCAGCCATAGGAAAACTGGTAATTCCAGAAAAGAAAATAGAAGGACTAGAACTCTCAACACCCTGGGAAAGCGGTAATAGGAGAACACCACACCTGCCCATCTCAAAGATAATAAATCATATAACACAGTATGTGAATATGAGTGAACTTGCTTACTTCTATACACAGTGAATTCTTGATTACTTCCTTATAAATTACTCATTCCATGAATTACACATAGCCTTTGGCTTCTTTCTGCCACTCAGCTTATTCTGAACTACGTCTATCCTTTCTCACCTTTCAGTCATTATCATATTTACAATAAAAACTGATTTAACTAATAACTTAAGCCAAACAACTGAGGAGATAAATTGGTGAGGGAAAAAAAATCACGTACATAAAAAACTTGAAATTATTTAGCAATTGGCTATTATTTTGACTTATTCGTGTTGTGGCTGCTTTTCTTCAATCAATAGTAGATCTTATTTCCCGCTTCCTAAAAGCCCACTCAGATTGCCTGAGAAAGTGAGCCACATCTAAACTGATTAGAGAATAACTTAAACCATAATTCATTGCAGATGATATTCATCAATGTTTGCACAAGGCTGAAAGAGCTCACAGTCCTGTTTGTATATAAAACATCCACAGACAAGAAACTGGATCCCCAGCCTAAAGGGTTTACAAAGTAGAAACCAAGGAGGAACCAGAAAGAGAGATGAGACAAATCCAAACCTCCAGATCAGGAGACAAATTTAATTATTTGGGCTACATCACTGCTAAAAGGTGATGCTAAAGAGGTTTTTTTTCGTGTTTTTTTTTTAAGAGAGTCTCGCTTTGTCACCAGGCTGGAGTGCCGTAGCGTAATCTTGGCTCACTGCAACCTCCGTCTCCCAGGTTCAAGTGATTCTCCTGCCTCAGCCTCCCAAGTAGCTGGGACTACAGGCGCACGCCACCACATGCAGCTAATTTTTTGTATTTTTTGTAGAGATAAGGTTTCACTATGTTGGCCAGGATGGTCTCGATCTCTTGACCTCATGATCCGCCCACCTCGGCCTCCCAAAGTGCTGGTAGTACAGGTGTGAGTCACTGCAGCTTTTCTGTTTGTTTGTTTTAGAGGAAGTCTTGTCCTGTCGCCCAGGCTGAAGCACAATGGCGTGATCTTGGCTTACTGCACCCTCCCTCCTGCGTTCACGGGATTCTCGTGCCTCAGCCTCCCAAGCAGCTGGGATCACAGGCACATACCACCACACCCAACTAATTTTTGTATTTTTAGTAGAGACGGGGTTTCACCATGTCGGCCAGGCTGGTCTCAAACTCCTGACCTCAGGTGATCCACCCACCTCAGCCTCCCAAAGCGCTAGGATTACAGGCATGAGCCACCAACCTGGCCAAAAGGGGTTTTCCTGTAAAGCAAATACAATATTTTTGCTGTGAAAGGAAGATGTTCCAAACTGAAGAGATTAAGCTGAATTTATACTATGTCTACAAAAGGTATAGATGTATACATGTCTTAACTGCTTTTTACTTAAAATCACTTATAGTTGACTAGAAATTATCCCTTTTTAAAAAATCTTTTTTTTTTTTTTAAACAGAGATGGGGTCTCATTATGTTGACCAGGCTGAACTCGAACTACTGGCCTCAAGCAATCCTCCCATCTCGGCCTCCCAAAGTGCTAGGATTACAGACATGAGCTACCGCACCCAGCCTAGAATATATCCCTTTTACAGAAAAACATCTGTGAAACTATAGATGGCTAGAAACAGAGTACCTGGTGAGACATTTTGGGTGAAAAGCATAGTGAAAAAGAATCTATTGTATATTGGGCCCCAGGTTTTATATATACAAACAGGTAAACAAACAAAATATTCAACTAATACTTTCCTTCTATGATATACGAAAGGTTGTACATCAAGTCAGTCTTTTTTTTTTTTTTTTTGAGACGGAGTCTCGCTCTATCGCCCAGGCTGGAGTGCAGTGGTGCGATCTCGGCTCACTGCAAGCTCCGCCTTCCAGGTTCACGCCATTCTCCTGCCTCAGCCTCCCGAGTAGCTGGGACTACAGGCGCCTGCCACGCCTGGCTAATTTTTTTTTTTTTTTTTGTAATTTTTAGTGGAGACGGGGTTTCACCGTGTTAGCCAGGATGGTCTTGATCTCCTGACCTTGTGATCCGCCCACCTCGGCCTCCCACAGTGCTGGGATTACAGGCAAGAGCCACTGTGTCTAGCCTCAAGTCAGTCATTTTTCTAAAAATTCTGGCTCTTCCATTGTATGTGCATTATTAGGTATGCTCGAAAGGCAGCATTTTAATTTTGCAACAGATCCAAACTTACACATCCCAACGACTGGTGTCCTTCCCTTTAGCTGGTAGCTCCGTAAATCTACATCCTAACTATGATATTGTTCAAAGAAGTTTTGAAACTCCTAACTCAAATCTACCCTCAGAGTTTGTAAGATAATGTTTTAATCCAAATCCTAACTCAAATCTACCCTCAGAGTTTGTAAAATATTGTTTTAATTCAAATGAGGTCTGACTACAACGGTTAATAATTTGTATAATTTGGAAACTGACCTAAATAATATAAGAGGTCCAAACATTTAAGAACCATCAACTGCAGTAGTAGGAAAATCTAAAAGCAGCACTACTGGAAAAAGCAGTTTTCCAAGATGAGGATATTATGTAAATATTTAATTCTGGCCTATATGCCCAGCACTTGCTTTTTTTTTTTTCCTATAGACAGAATCTTGCTCTGTCACCCAAGCTGGAGTGCAGGGATGTGATTATAGCTCACTGCAGCTTCAATCACCTGGGCTCAAGTAATCCTCCCGCCTCAGCATCATGAGTAGGTGGGACTACAGGCACATGCCACCAGGCCCAGCCACTTTAAAAAATTTTTTTTACTCAAAGCCCTTCATTTTTCTTGGAATCTTTAATCTTCCAAGACCTTCCGGCAATGATGCTAGTTCAGTTCAGCCCATGTTGGAATAATATGGGGCCTCCCCACTACTCTCTTTAATCCCCTTTTGTGAAAATCTACATTTAAAACTACCCATTTGGATATAGGTTTAGAATGCTTTGCAGTTTCAAAAGGCTTTCATATGTATACTTCATTTTATACCTCCTTTCACCCCATGAAGAAGGTAGTATTATTTCCTTATTACAAGTGAGTAAATGAGATTCAAAAAGGTAGAACATGTCCTGGTGGCTCATGCCTATAATCCCAGCACTTTGGGAGGCCAAGGCAAGTGGATTGCTTGGGCTCAGGAGTTCAAAACCAGCTTGAGCAACATGGCAAAACCCCATTTCTACCAAAAAAAAAATAGCTGGACATGGTGGCACATGCCTGTAGTCCCAGACACTCAGGAGGCTGAGGTGGGAGGATCACTGGAACCTGGCAGGCAGAGGTTGCAGTGAGCCGAGATGGCACCACTGCACCAGCATGGGTAACAGAATGAGACCCTGTCTCAAAAAAATAAAAGTAGAACAACTTAGTTATACATGGTTACAAGAAAATTTAATAGAAATAAATTTAAGAAATCAATTTAAATTTAAAATTTAAAAGATAAATTTAATAAATTAAGAGTTCCTTAATTATATTTTAAGACAAATTTTACTTTTTTCCCATCACAATGGACAATAGGTTCCACTGGTACCTACAAGAATTATAAACATAGACCAGGCATGGTAGCTCATGCCTGTAATCCTAACACTTTGGGAGACTGAGGCAGGAGGATCACTTGAGCCCACAAGTTTGACACCAGTCTGGTCAACACAGGGAGACTACATCTGTACTTCATTTTTTGCTTTTTGAAACAGGGTCTCATTCTGTCACCCAGGCTGGAGTGTAGTGGCACAATCACGGCTCACTGCAGCCTAGACCTCTCCAGCTCAGACAATCCTCCCACCTCAGCATCCCCAAATAGCTAGGATTACAGGCATGTGCCACCATGCCTGGCTAATTTTTTCTTTTTTTTTTTTGGTAGAGACAGGGTCTTCCTATGTTGCCGGGCTGTCGTCTTGAACTCCCGGCCTCAAGTGATCTTCCTGCCTCGACCTTCCAAAGTGCTGAGATTACAGGCATGAGCCACTGTAGCCAGCCTCTCACTCTTTCTTAAAACTTCATTTCTAAATTCAAGAAATACCACTAGTGTATCATATATCTTCCTTAAGAAGAGTCAATGAAGATTTAGGAAAATCTAATATAATAGATTAAATTTTAAAATTTTACCATTACCAGGTAATATTTATTGAATGTCTAAGAATTCTAAGAATACAAATAGGTATAATGTATGGATGAAGAACTGATCCAACTTATGAAAGTGTGCACCTGTTATAAATAAGGCATTAATAGCTTGTTAGATAAATGCCAATGAAACTTAGCTGGGTTCTTACTGATAAGAAGCCAGCCAACAAAGAGGGGGACTGAGAAGTCGGCACTATGAGGAAATGAAGCCATGTACCCTGAAGAGTGTAAATTTGGAAGAAGGCTGGATGACCACCTTGAAAATGCTTGAAAGGATATTGTATAGACAGTGCTAAATTATGACCCTTTTCACTAAGAAAACAATGGGTCACTCAGGAGGCACTAAAAATGCAGTTAAACTAAGCAGAAAAACGCAGGGTGCCCTAAGTCAGCATGCCAGCCAAGTTCTACACTGCAGGACAAGTTCAAAGCTCCTCCTTTAAAAAGACTCCTACAGGTAACATGCCTGCACACTAATGTGCAGAAAGGGACTGTGCTACTCAAAACCACCAAGGAAGCGGCAGAGGTGAGTCAACATCTAACCCTGCCACTCTGTGTGGCAAAGAACGCTGGGAGCAAATTACTTCTGCTGCTCCTTGAAGGCTGCATCCAGTGTCACCTGGATGGTGTAAAGGAAACAAGAGACAGGAACAGAGCCCCTCATCTCGCCTCTGGGCTACCATACGGAAAAGCAGGTAACTGGGGAAGGACAGATTTGTGCATGGAAACAGACTAATGCTATGGATAACTCAGTATTAGTATTATTAAAGCCTTTTTTTTTCTTTTTTCTTTTTTTTTTTTTAAGTAGAGTGTTTTAAAGGCCATATTGGAGAAAAAAAAGACATTGGAAACTATTACCAAGGAATATGGTACAATCTTTCCACATAGGCTTTTTAAGTAGCAAACAATACTTCTAGGATAACTAGATGGTCTAATGAGTTCTTATAATGCCGGAATTCTATGAAGACTTTTCAATTTATGCTTTCTAATTTAAATGATTAAATTTTAACATTGCTACTCAGTTAAAGGCAATAATATGAATATCAAGGATCAGATCACACAGTATCTGATTATTAGTGATTACTTTCAAGCAGGAGAATTGAAGATTGTTGTTTTGGAGGGATTTTCATAAAATAAATTAAAAACCTGAAGGGTATGGTGGCGCTTGCCTATAGTGCCCAGCTACTCCAGAGGCCAAAGCAGGGGATAGCTTGAGTCCAGGAGTTCAAGACCAGCCTAGGCAACATAGTGAGACCCCATCGCTACAAAAAATTTAAAATTTAGCTGGGTGTAGTGGTGCACACCTGTAGTCCCAGCCACTCCAGAAGCTGAGGCAGGAGGATCACTTGAGCCCAGGAGTTCAAGGTTGCAGTGGGCTATGATAACGCCATTGCACTTCGGCCGAGGAGACAGAATGAGACTCTGTCTCGAAAAATAAATAAATGAATAAATGATAAAAATCCTCCAAAATCTTGCCAGAATAATACCAACAAATAGTGAAATTTAAAATGTGACTAAATCGACTTTTCAAGTTCACAGTGTGCCCGTGGTTAATCAATACATATGTACAGTAGAAAGAAAACGCAAAGTCTAATCATGACCACGCTTGCCTAGACAGGGAACTAAGTGCCTGGGCACAGAAGGCAAAAAAATTTGGGAAAAGTAAGCAGAAGGAGCAGGGTCACATGTTGGGAAACTGGAATCCAATACAATTTATCAAAGAGTACTGAAACTTGGAATGTGACCAGTTCCACTCAGGCAATAACCAAAGCAGGTCAGATGGGAGCCAAAATATTTTCCATGCTTGAGAAAATCAAGGCTTTTACAATATAAATGAATACTGGGCTGTTGTGGAAGGTTTGTTGGTCTTTGTTGCTTTGTTTTGCTTTCTTTTAATGGGGGTGCGGCGGAGGTACCCATCTCCTTTGAGAACTGAAGAAAGCAAAGGATTTGCCTAAAAAAAAAATGTACATAGTCACAAGATTTTGAGGGAAAATGAGGCATGTCTAACCCTCTGGAAATCCATTCAGAGTCAGGAACCCCTAATTTAAAAATGAGTGATAACTGCCAGGAAAAGAGAAGCTCTAAACTGAAAACACAACACCTCCAGTAGAGTTAGGAATAGTAGGCGGGTGCTTGCGAGGTGAGTTTGAAGATACTTGTTGAGAGTATACTACATACCAGCATTGTCCAATAAAAATATAATGTGGGCCACATATAAAATTTTAGTGGCCACATTATAAAGGAAAAACAGCACAAATCTTAACATTTTATTAATCCCAAGTACTCAAAACATTACCATTCCAATATTTAATCTATATAAAATGTATTAATCAAAAAGATTTTTCAAAATTTGGTGTGTACTGTACACTTACAGCACATTTAGGGTGACCAACCTCTTGGTTTCCCTGGGACGGAGGGGCTGAAACATAGGACTTTCAATGCTAAAACAATCCCAGCAAACCAGGACAAATGGCAAATCTAGCAACTCAATTTGACAAGCCACATGCACTACACAGTACTGGACAGCACAGTCATCCATCAAGCATGTTGCAAAGCGGAATATACACATTATTCAACTTATTCTTCATAACATGCCTAAAAGATGGATGCTGTCAGTTTCCAAACTACAGACTAAAAGAAACAGAGGTTAAGGCTCTCACCCAAAGTCACACCAATAAGGCGACGGTACTGGGCAATACAGTAGCAAGCCTGGGGCCTAAGAAATGTTATGAGTGAAGGAGCAGAGGTGAGAAGCTAGGAAAGTTCCAGAAAGGGGGAACCAGCGAAAACGTGAGCACGAAAGGCCCTTTACAAAAGGAAACAGAAGTATTAGGGGGAGAAGGAAAAGGGTGACAAGGAGTATAGAAGGCACCCACGAATAGTGCAGTTTAGGAATGAAACAAGAAAAAGTTAAAACTTACGGAGCAGAGAATGTCTCAGCGGATAAAAATAATGGGTGACAGAAAAGGGGAGGCGGATAGGAGGAAACGGCAGTGGGGAGAAAGGCGGAAAGTGAAGGCAGAGATCACCGGGGAGAAAGGGCCTGAAGAGTTAAAAGCATTGGCCTAGGAGGCTGAGGACCGAGGGCGAGGAATTGCGGGGCGGAAAGAGGATTCAAATTAAATCATTCAGAGCGGCAGGGAACCGAGTAGTTTCACCAGGTATCAGGCACTACTTCATGAACGATCTCATTCATGGTCATGGGGCAGGTATCTGTCATCCCCAGTTTGCATTTGATAGCACCAGAGAAGCGGAACCGAGCCGCGAAGGCCGCCCCGAACCGAGACTCGCGCTCAAGACAGGCCATGGCCTGGGCCCGGGTCCCCGGAGGAGGCTGCGCTGCCCGCCGCCGCCGCGGGGGCAGCCAGGCCTACCTGTGCAGCGGCGGCAGGTCCTGCGCGTCGCTGGCGGGGTCAGGCGTGTTGGGGATGACGCCCAGGATGGTGCTCTGCAGCGACGTGCCCTTCAGCAGGCGGTTCCGCACCAGCTGCAGGTTGCGGGCCGAGTCCACGCTGGTGCGCATGGTGGAGCCGGGCAGCAGGACGCCCTCGTGGGTGAGCAGCAGCGGGAGGCGGCTGGGGATCTGGATGGGGCTCACCGATGACATGGTGGCAGCCGTTCGCACTGGGGGCTGTCAAAAGGAGCAAGACAGACAGCTGCCCGCGACCTGCTCCGCGGCGACCAAACCTCAGACCCGCCTCCGCGCCCCCGCTTCCGGCTACGCGGTACGGTCCGCCCCCGGGCCCAGAAGCCATCGCTTCGCGCTGCTCTCTTGCAGAGCCTCCCGATAAGATTTGCGGGTGGTACCTCTACGAAAAGAGGTGCACTCAAGCGTGCGGCGACCTTCGCCTCACTTACAGAGTATATTTGGAAGGATGATCTTATTTGAATTGTGTATACTTGAAGTGTGTTTAACTTTTTTCAATTTTTTTATATATACTTGAAGGGTTTTTAACTTTTGATTGATTGATTGATTGATTGATTGATTTTGAGACAGATTCTCGCTCTGTCGCCGAGGCTTGAGTGCAATGGCGCGATATCCGCGCCTTGCAGCCTCCGCCTCCCGGGTTCAAGCGTTTCTCCTGCCTCAGCCTCCTGAGTAGCTGGGATTACAGATGCCGGCCAACACATCCAGCTAATTGTTGTGTTTTTAGTAGGGAGGGGATTTCACCATGTTGGCCAGGCTGATCTCTAATTCCTGACCTCGAGTGATCCGTCCACCTCGGCCTCCCAAAGTGCTGGAATTACACGCGTGAGCCAACGTGCCCGGCCCGAATTGATTTTAGATGTACAAAACTACAGCAAAGAGTTCCTATATACCTTTCACCCAGTTTCGTCTGTTATCATCTTACATAATCATAGTTCAATTATCAAAACCAGAAAATTAACATTACTATCTTTTAACCGGTAGATCTTAACCAAATTTTGCCAGTTTTCCCACTAATGTACTTCACTGGATCTGGTCCAGGATCCAATATTCAGGATCCCACTCTTTATTTTGTTGTAAAATCTCCTGGGTGTTCTCTAATCTGTGGCAATTCCTCAATTTTTTTTTTTCTTTAAAACCTTGATACTTTTATTGTATTTTTTTCTGTTTTTTATTTTATTTTATTTTTATTATACTTTAAGTTCTAGGGTACATGTGCACAACATGCAGCTTTGTTACATATGTATACATGTGCAGCACCCATTAACTGGTCATTTACATTAGGTATATCTCCTAATGCTATCCCTCCCCCCTCCCCCCACCCTGTGTCCAAGTGTTCTCATTGTTCATTTCCCACCTGTGAGTGAGAACATGCGATGTTTGGTTTTTTTGTCCTTGCGATAGTTTGCTCAGAATGATGGTTTCCAGCTTCATCCATGTCCCTACAAAGGACATGAGCTCATCCTTTTTTATGGCTGCATAGTATTCCATGGTGTATATGTGCCACATTT